CAGGTGCTCTCTCTCTCTCTCTCTCTCTCTCTCTCGCTCTCTCGCTCTCGCTCTATCTCTCTCCCCCCCCACCCCCTCGCTCCCCTTCCACAACTTTGGGTATTGATGGTTCCATGGTTCCAGTACAGTGAGTTTATCATATTTGTTTCTTTGCCAACTTTCAGCATGTAGTTCAAGGACCACTAAATGAAAGTATTTGCTTAATCTCTCTCCGCCCCCCCCAGGATGATATTAGATGATGTCAATATGGGTTTTTCTCTCTCTCTCTTTTTTTAAAGACTTTCTCAACCTCTTTAAAATTCCAGCTAATATCTCTCTTTTTATGACAGTAAAATTGGAAGCAGAGAACTTAGAAAATTGACCAAAGTTACAAAGGTTATAAATAAAGGAACCAGACTCTGAATATACTGCATACACACCTCATAGTTTGAGAACCCATAATACCAACCAAACTGTCCTTCTTTCCAGTAAAATAAGGAACCAGCAGTTGAACAAGTTAGGACTTGCCCAAGTATCTACAGGACTACTTTCCATTTCTGAAAACGGTGGACTAGTTGCTTACAGATTGACATTCTGATGAAAACATGCAAGAGAACCAGCCAAAACACTGAAATAAAGCTTGTCAAGAAGTCCCTTTCAGCACTCCCAGTTTGGAGAGAACTTAGAGATCAGTGCCAGCACGGAGGTGAGGCCTATGAGGAAATCCAGACTTTCCCTGTGGACTCCCCAGAGACTCCGTGCAAGGAGTAAAGCAAGCCAAAAATCAATCTGCTTATTGACAGTTTTGTTCCTTCTCAGAATAGAGTGCCCTGCCCTCTCTAACTGCGCAGAGAAACAAATGTGAATATTTTCTGGAGGGCCTCAAAGTACCACTTTGACTTTTTTATAAAAATATACAACATGAAAAAAATATATATACAACATGCAGAGAACAATAACTTATAGAAAGGATAAGTGACTAAAAACAGACTCAGACAGGAAAGAGACATAGAAACCTAAATTTTGAATTTTTATATGCAGTCTTACGATATATAGATTAATCCTTCTAAGAAATTCAGCAAGCTGACTTGTGCAAAGAATTAGAGGGAGAAAAAAAGGCTTAAGTACAAATTATAGGATTGAAAAGTGACAATTAAAAAAGAACCCTGGGTTTATAGCAAATTATATATAGTCAGAGGTCCAGTAAACAGAGATTGCTCAGAAGAAAAGGACTTTGGAACACAGTTTTAAAAGAATTAAAAGAAGAGAAAATAGTTTCTTCAAATGTGCATTAGAGATTTTGCTGTGAACTGAATGTGTTCCCACATTCCTGCTTTAATATACTGATGCACAGTCTTAGGAATGGATGGATTTGATGCCCTCTAAGAGACCCCTTCACTTTCTGAGATCAGATGGCCAAGTAAACCAGAAGTGGGCCCTCACCCAACTCCCAGTATATCACCATCTCCTTGGTCTTGGGTTGTCCAACCTCCTTGACAGGGAGGAGCATATGTCTGCTACTCATAAACCATCTCATTTGTGGTATTCCACTATAATAACCAAACTCAGACTTATAGGACCAGGTGAGAGGCTTAACTTGCATGTATATGATTGTTGTCCATAGAGATTCACTGGCTGTGGAAGCCATATTGAAGAGATGATTGCCATAGCCCCCCGGCTAGTGAGTAGCCCATCCACATCTTATAGCTTCAAATGTAGCACTTTTTTAAAGAGATGTCTATGTGACTCATAAGGCAGAAAATGTTTTCTAGGACATGCTTGTCCAGCCGGTAACAAAGGTGAACTCACCCATCACTGCCACTGAAGCAGAACCCACACTTGCACCACCTCACTGGAGAACCTCCCCATGCTGACTTCCTTAACATTGGCTTCGCTGTTATCAGACATGTGTGTGGCCCTGAACATGTTTCCATTTGGCTGTCCTTTGATTCTCCAGATGATACTCTCCTGGAGCAGATACTTCTTTCCATGGTCCCCGCTCATTGCGAGATTTGGCATGCGTTGTTGATTAGTCCAGTTTTCATTGTTTGATCTGAGACAAAGAAGTCCACTCCAGCCTTGTCCAATAATAATACAGAGCATTCATCAGTGCAAAAACTTAGTTCATTCTCTGTCCTTAACTTCAAGGCTTCTTCTCACGAGTCAGGGAATCAGCTACTCTGCTGAATCAGTTTTGCTGCTGTGACCCATATAAAACACTTGTATATCACCATGATATGAAACAGAGTTTAGATTAAAAGCAAATTTCTCTCGTCAGAAAGCCATTTGTTGGTCGTTTGACTTAATTAAAATTGGATTTATCATATATTAACTCTGACACACTGCCTCCACAATGATGATGATGCCACCTTATGAATTGATTAGTATCTATAAAATTAGCAAAATCTCGCTTGTGCTGAATGGCAGTGAGGTTGCCCTCTGTATGCAAAGGAGTGTTTCCCAGCTGGTGACCACAGGAAGGAAAGAAAGTCAGAGAGGGGCCACTGTGGAGGAAAGGTTGAAATACTGGACAGGAGTTCTGACACTGAGTATGTGTGCTTATAGAAATGGGTAGGGAAGGCACCAAAGTGGGGTACTCTTTTAGGTGTCCTTGGAGTGATGGAAAGCTATTCTGCTCTGGAGGGACATCACACACTTTGTGGGCTAGCTTGCTAGTCCGTAAGGACAAAGAGCCATGTGTCTTCTGCCCACACTGATGCACCAGACCTTGTTCATGACTTGAGGCCTTGTCACATGGTGCCTGCCTCGGCCCTGCAATCCAATCCCTCCAGAGCACAGCCACTTGGGATGGTGAGACTGAGACCATCTGCCCCTTCAGGCCTGTGAACATCATGGTTCTGTAAGATGTATGCAGTCAGGGTTGCCTAGAATTTAATTTTGTGGGAGGCTTGGACTACTAGGTTGGTAAGGCCAGTTGACAGCATCATCAATGTCATTATGAATTTATGATGAGTTCTTCCTAAGAGATCTAGCTCAGTCATTAGTTTGCCAGTTCTATTTCCCATTCCCCACCCTCCCCCTGCCCCACGCCACCAGTCCACACCCCTGCCAGCTGCTGACCTTGCAGTGTCTGTGATTCAGAAAGTAACACAAAGGCCAGGCCCCTGCTTGTCTTCCTCTTTGTGTTTTGTGGGTCATTTCTAAGGCATCAAGCCCTGGGTGAAGTAGGAATAGAAGAGGGTTTTCCCCATTAAGGTTGGTTTGTTTGGGGTCTGTTTTGGATAGAAGACTACTTAGACACAAATTTGACGTCCTGTCTCCGTTTGCTCTATAGTCCTTTGTATTACTGGCTGTGACTGGGTGGCCAAGCTTACAGCCCTTCCTTGAGTTGAACTACTGCAGACACCCCCACCCCCAACCCTTGGTCACTGATTGTCCTTGGTTTCTGTGAAGTCATCGCCCATTCATGATGTGTGCACACTTCACTGTGTGTGGTTCACTGTGAGTCAGCCGTCCTGTGCTTTGTTCTCTTAGTCTTTTGTTTCTGAGTCCTGCCTGAGGGTTGACTCCTCAGTGGCCACTTGGGGTGCTCTGTTGGAATATAGCACAAGGAAGATGGCCCTCCAGGGTGTCCTGATGAGGAGTCATTCTCCTGATTTTGAGGCCTGACCCTGCACTGGAAGGCCATTAGTTTCCCATGAAGATGCCCCCGGGGAGGGGTGGAGAAATAGCACAGCCTGTAGGGCATTTGCCTTACACACGGCCAACCTGGGTTTGATTCCCAGCATCCCATATGGTCCCCTGAGCACTGGCAGGAGTAATTCCTGAGTGCAAAGCCAGGAGTAATCCCTGTGCATCATCAGGTATGACCCAAAAAGCAACCAAAAAAAAAAAAAAAAAGAAAGAAAATGTCCCAAGGAGGGCACTGTTTTCCTCATTGAGTGTAGGGCCCCCAGCACTGAGTAGGCAGAGCCTTGCAGTCAAGCCAAGGGAGGGCACAAAGATCCACCAGAGAGGACCATGAGAGTGCCAGGCATGGCATCTTTGCTCAGGGACTTTGCTCATGTAGGCAGAGGACACCGGGGCCTAGTAGAGGCAGGCCCCTCCCTCTCCACCACCATTGCCTGCTCCTATAGTCTCTTCCAACACTAGCTCAACCCACCATATAGACACCTTTCGGTGATCCTACTCTTCCCTGCTCTTCCATTTCTGCTGCAGGCTTGTCACTTCTCTAAGCTAACAGAAAGGACCGTCACCAGGCCTATGATCTCTGCATCCTCACACCTGCACACACCCAGGGCCCAGTCTAAGCCACACCCCAAGTCTCTGTTTAGTGAATAATGGTAGACTGAGTTCATCAGGGCTGTTCTTTTCCCCCACTAAAAAGACATTCCTCATTCAGTGTTGAACCCTTGTCAGTGCTTCCATAAACAAACTGCCCGAGTGTCATGAAAAGAATGTCTTTCTAAGGTATGTGTAAATTTAAATAAAGCACCATTGTAGACTATAAGGCATTTTTAATAAGATGCAGGATCTGTGCCCATAGCCCTTGGCAAAGCTGCGCCCAGAAATTTTCACCACTCTTGAATTATTTACTTTCAAGTAGCCTAGAATTAGAAATATTTGATGATTTCTTTCAGGGGTAGAAGTCAGAAGCAACCTAGCTCGGCTACTACCTATGTTGAATAAATTCCCAGAGTGCCAGGAATAGCTTGGGGAAGGGAAAAGTTTTGATTTCCTCAGTCCATGCAAACACTGGGGTCATGCACTCCAGGGCATGTTCCCACTGTTCAAAGAGGTAAAATCCAGAGTGCCACAGTGGTGCTAAACAATGTGATGGAGTTACCACTTCATACCATCGGGAAATCAGAGCGCCCCTGGGCCATTGGAGCATTGTGGTAGCTACTAGCATCTGGACAAGAGTGAGATGCAGCTTGTCCCCATTAAAGGCTACACAGTGGGTGTGTTTCCATCTTTGTCTTCGGCCATGGCGATGGGTTCCCTGGCTGGGTCCATCCTGTAACCCTGACAGTAACTCCTGTTCTCTGTCCTCCGCACAGCCCAGTGACTTCTCCGTGTCTCTCAAAGCATCAGGGAAGAACAAGCACTTCAAAGTGCAGCTCGTGGACAATGTCTACTGCATCGGGCAGCGGCGCTTCCACACCATGGACGAGTTGGTGGAGCATTACAAGAAGGCACCCATCTTCACCAGTGAGCATGGGGAGAAGCTCTACCTCGTCAGAGCCCTGCAGTGACTGCCCACACCCTGGCCTGGACAAGATGCAGGGCACACCCGAGGGTGCTCACACAGGCTACCCCATCGGGTGCTTTGGTCCTTGACTGGCTCCCTCGTAACCCTGGCTCGGTTGGTTTATTTTCCACTCACCTTCCTTTGGCCGTCCCAAACCCCCTGCCCTGTGTGCAAGCCCACTCCCCTCCTGGCCAGCTTTAGAGAATGGGGAGTGGGAGGATGGGGCAGTCCCTCCCTATTCCTTCCCCACGGGGAGCAGCCTTAGTCTGTGTGGAAGGTTGATGCTGACAGAGCCCCTAGCTCGAGAGATGGGTGCCATTTGACCACCCCAAGATGCTGTTCTCTCCTGAACTGGCCAGCACGCTGGAAACAGAGCTGGGTGAGCAGCACCAACGAAGGTCCCCGTCCCAGCAGCCCTTGTGCTGTCGCCTTGGCCCTGACGTGGCTCCCGGATTCCCCAGGGAGTGAGCACGTTTGCTGGTAGCAATACTGGAACCACCAGGTGAGGTGGTCACGAGGGACTGCCCAGTGCCTTTGGGGCTGTGCTTGCAATAAAAGACAGGATTTTCTTGAAAGTCAATCTCCAAGTGAGGTGGCTCGGAAAGATAGATGTTTTAGTAATTGAACCCCCCCCAAGATGTGCCATCCACATAGTGCTTTCTTCCTCACGCCCTTTGGCTTGTTTAAATTTCACAATTCTGTATTTAATTCTCATTGTAATGATGTACTGTAGCCATTTGTTGACACTAATTCAGATGATTATGGAAAACAGCTGATCTTTGGGGAAGGGAGCTACCGATACTTTACACACAAGATATATATAAATATCGATATATATTATTTGCTTTACAGGGAAATTTTTCAGGGTTTACAAAAGATATGTGATTGGTAGTAAGAGACACAAAATGTTTATGAAGAAATTGCATTCTCTCTTTTTTCTTTACATTTGAACTTCTTCATAGTTTAAACATACACTCCTGGGGTGGCACATTCCGACAATTGAAGACAGGATCTTGATACCCTGCCCCCTGAACTTGCATACTCCGTTTTTTGGATATTGTAATAAAAAAAAGCATTATGACAAAATTATGTGTGTATTTATCTTTGAGAACACTCTTACTCAATTATGGGAGAGTAATTACTGCCGCATTTACTGGACACTCTGTGCCTAAGTGAAAACATTTTTTAGAGAGGAGCTTTAACAGATATATTACTTGTGTGTTTTCTTTTTCTATCATCACATTTTTGTATCTTGAAATAATAAATTTTAATTAGTGAAATTCCAAGAGAAACCAGAATCTCAAGCTTGGTCTTCACTTTACTCTGTGAAAATTATTTGTTAAATGTTTCACCCAGAGCCAAAGAGAAGAGCTTGGTGGGCACTTGCCTTGCCAACCTAGGTTCGATCTCTTATGGTCCCTGAGCAGTACCAAATGACCCCTAAAATCATATATATATAAGCAATTAACTGTTGTCTTCTAGAATTCTCACCTCTTACTTTCTGCTGCAGGATCCCTGCTGACTTCCATTTGCTCAGCAAGAGGTCCTCAATCACTGAGTCTTGGTCAAAGCATAGAATCAGTTTCCTCATGGGCTCTTGACAGCTCATGCCTAGCAGGTGCTCCCTGTGCAGACATGGTGTCCGTATTTTTCCCTCACAGCACTCCTGGGAACTGCTGCTGCACTGATGACCTGAATCTCACAGATGGAGAGAGTCATCCCAAAGTCAATGCCAAGGGCAAACTTGCAACCTGGGTCAGGGTAACACCCTTTCTGCGCAACCTGAAGCTTCCAGAGGATATTTGCCATCAATCTACCATTCTTCTTTCCTCTTACTTTCAGAAAGTAAGAGTTTTTTTTGTATTTTTGCCTTTGATAATAGTAGGATGAGAAGTCTGATATCCAGTACCTGTGTTTCAGGACACCAGTAATGCAGGTATATATGCAGGTGGGTGAGACAGATCATTACCTTGGACAGAATGTATCTGTTCCATTCAGTCTCGTAAGAAAATAATTCCTTCTGATGTTGGTCTCACTTTGTGTAGTCTATTTTGACCTGCTAGAATTCTCTATAATGAGTTCCTGGATCACTGATAGACTGATTCATGTATAGCAATTCAAAAAGAAACAAGCAATTAAAGGACACAAGACATTTTGCTTTCAGGGACATCTTTTAGGCCTATAGTTGTAATTGACAGTTATTTTCACTTCTGTTCCAAATTGCTGTGGAAAAACAAATCGAATTGCCTGATTAGGACTAACATTTAGGAAGGATTTAGTACTCCAAATCAAGGGGAGCTGGACTGATAGTTCCAGGAAGAGCCTGTCGCTAGACTTCGAGATGGGGATGAAGGTTGCATACCCAAGTGGCTTGGAGTGTAGACACCTCACCACCTCTGCCCTATACCACTGGTGTCTGCCATCATCTTCTGCAGATCCAGGATTTCCAAGGCTTGTCTTTTTTTTGTTGTTTCCTTGCCACAGCACTACAGCCAAGGGCAATATAGGTCAGTCATTTGATAGCTGAATGACTCTGCTCAGTTAATTACGTGTATGCACCTCCATTTTTCAGGAATGGTTCACAACCACCAATCTCTCTGCATGAAACTTATGCCAAGTGACTTTAAGTCACGTTCCCGGGAAAGCTGAAACTGTCCATCTTTCCTCCCAAAGTACATCATAGACTAGAGCCTTAATTTATTATGAGAGGTTTTATATCTACTGAAATGTATTTCCAAACAAAGCATTTTGGGTATACTGGTACAATTTTTATTTCATTTCTAAGTGCTAACTGGTTCATGATTGTCTTTTCACCATTTCTAATGTCAAAATAATTTAGAACAAAGTTCAGCACTAGGAGGAGAGAAAATCCTGAAAGGATTTTTTTAAAAGCTCCTTTTTGGTAAATACAGCCATTTTCTCAGCACCATCTAACCTGACTTATTCTCTGGCAGTGGTTAATATGCTTCCTTGAGTTCCAGCATCTTGCTCACACAAACTGCTCCCCCATGTCACTCAGCAGTGAGCTCCTGACTATTCCCATATGGTAGAAATGAATGAATGCCCAGTTGCCCTTATTGCCTTTGCTTTCCAGAAGAACACTCAGCTTTTTGAGTGTCTTTGCTTCCATCACCGCAGCGTGTTTGTAGGTCAGATGAGCAGGATGCTTGAGGGACCATGATGCTTCACAGCCATCACTGTGCTGCATCACTCTGGTGTGCCATCTGCTTAACCACTGTGCTCATTACTTAAAGCTTATCTGGGCCTCTTGAGCCATGAGCTCTCCAGGGGGTAGGACTCCAGCTCCAGGGAAACCTCAGTGTGGTCTATCACTGGCAGTTTTGCAGCCAGCCCACCCTGCTTTCTAGAAGTGTAGCAGTTTGAGCTTTTGAAGAAGTGTGGCTCCAACAGATTACTCCTAAAAACATGATCCGTATCCCAGGAAAAGCCCAGCTGCAAGTCACACTGGGCTGATCTCAGAATTGTACTCACCTCAGTCTAACCTGGGCAACCTGCTAACAGGTTGGCAAATTCGCAACCCTGTCAAGGACCCCCTCTTTCAGGGGGAACATCTGTTGTCTCTTTGGGGGTGGTGGCATGTGGAATGGACATGCACACACACACACACACACACACACACACACACACACACAGAGTCTAACATGTAAGGAACTCCTTGTGATTCTCAGCCTAGAGCTGACATTACAATGGCTGCCAATCAAGCTAAGTTGGCCAAGCCCACCAAGGCTCACAAGGCCATTGCCACTATCTTAGCTCAGTCTCTCTTATAACAAAATACTGAGTGGCTAACAAAACCACAGATTTATTTTCCTCTTTTGGAGTCTGGGAGTCCAGATACCAGCAGGGCACATTTTGTTGAGCACCCTCATCCAGTTATACAGTGTCTGACTCTGGTTGAATCCTCAACTGGCAGAGAGAAGGCCAACTAGCTTCCTGACTTCTTTGAATAAGGGCATTTAATCTATCCTAATCTTTGATAAGGGGTTTCAAAGGCCCAACCTAAAGATACCATCATACTCAGGATTAGATTAGATTTCAGCATAGGAATTTGGAGGCTGCAAATATTCAATTCAAGACTTTAAAAAAAAATTGTAAGTCTATAACTGTACCTTGTGGTGTTTGACTAATAAAAAATAAAATATTTAGAAAATAAAAAAAAAGAAGCTCTTTCCTGAAGTTGCTCATCACTCAGATTCCCAGTGGGAGATAGACAGAACCCACTTACTTTTTATTTTTTCTTGAATACTCATTTGTTTACTTCAAAATCTTTAAGTCATCTGTAATTTCTTTATTTTTTTTTTAACGAAAGAAGTTAACATTTATTGGACATCTTAGTAGTAGTTCCATGTTCGTCCCCAATATCCAGGCTTTTCTTTTTCTTTCTTTTTTTATTGAATCACTGTAAGCTACAGTTACAAAACTAAAATTTCAGGTTTGAGTCTCAGTCATACAATGATCAAACACCCATTCCTCCACCAGTGCTATTTACCACCAATGTCCTCAGTATCCCTTCTCCCCCAACCCCTGCCTTTATGGCAGACAATTTCTCTCTCTCTCTCTCTCTCTCTCTCTCTCTCTCTCTCTCTCTCTCTCTCTCTCTCTCTCTCTCTGCTTATTGATATTATGGTTTGCAATACAGATATTGAGAGGCCATCATGTTTGGTGCTTTATCTACTTGCAGCACACATCTCCCATCCCAAAGATCCTTCCAACCATCATTGACTTAGTGATCTCTTCTCTGTTCCAGCTGCCTTCTCCCCCAGCTCATAAGGCAGGCTTCCACCTGTGGAACAATCTTCCTGGCCCTTGTCTCTACCGTCCTTAGGTGTTAGTTTCAAATTATGATATTTTATATTTCACAAATGAGTGCAGTCTTTCTATGTTCCTCTCCTTCTGACTCATTTCACTTAGTATGATACTCTCCATAACCATTAGCTTATAAGAAAATTTCATGACTTCATCTTTCCTAATAGCTGCATAGAATTCCATGGTGTAGATGGAAAGTTTTTTGTGCCATCTTCAAAGACTCCTTTTACTTGACAGCAAGTTATGACTGAAGATGGATAGCCCTGACAATTATTTTATAAACTCACTTTGAGACCTGCTTTTAAATTCATGACCTCCTCATGGCATTTGGCCAAAGCCTTGGCTTGAGGACCAGGTTCTGCAGCCAAAATCAGCAACCAAATGACTAGAACCTTGCTCCCAATGATGGATGGGGCATATTGCCTTCCAAGATTAGGCCATGGCCTGGGGAAACCAAGCCTTAGGAGGAAGTGGTTCTGTCTTCTTTTTTTTTTTTCTTTTTGGGTCATACCTGGCAATGCACAGGGGTTACTCCTGGCTCTGCACTCAGGAATTACTTCTGGCGGTGCTCAAGGGACCATATGGGATGCTGGGATTTGAACCCGGGTCAGCCACGTGCAAGGCAGACGCCCTACCTGCTGTGCTATCACTCCAGCCCCGTTTCTGTCTTCTTGGGCACTGACGTATCCATGTATTTTCGTGACTGCCTCAGCTTAACCTAATACTGTGCCACTCATCAGTGACTAGATGTCCAGCAATTTTTTTGTGTCTCTGTGCCTTAGTCACCTCAGAAGCACGGAACCAGAGTGAGTGTTTCTGCACAGCCATTTGAAGGTAATATAGACATTATTATACATTTAGATAAGGTGAACTGCTTTGCATTCATAATGTTAAATGCTTAGATCTTGTCAGTTTCTTAAGTGTAATGAACAGAGGGAAATGTACTAATATGCTAAATATACAAATGAGACCAGCTGTAATCCAAGTTGCAAGACCACACCTTCTTATAGAACTCAAATGACAAATAATTTCAACCAAAATCTCCTGGTCACAGATGAACTTCAGATACTACCAACTTCACTCCGTAAAGACTAAGAGTTCCCTTTCATTTCTGTGAACGGTAAAGGATAAAAAAAATTACAAAGGCTTGACCTTGAAGTGATGAAGCCAATTAAAGTGTTGACTTAGCATAGCTGTCCAGATAGCAGCAGAGCCTGTCTTTTTAGCATAGCAGTTGCGTTGTAGAAAGTGTCTTTGCT